CTCATCAAATTTTCACACACACATGCATTTTCTCTCTTTCTCTGTCTCTCTCGTCGACAGTAGTAGGTAGTAGTGGAGAGGTATAGAAATGTGTGATATTTATTTAGATATGGTATTGAATGAATTGCATGTGTCACATCAACAGATTGCTTGGTAAATTTCAACAATTAAGAAAATAAGGTTAGTGAAAAATAGGGTTGATGAACTTCAATAGATAGACAAAACAAGTGATTTCGAAAGATAAACAGATAAGTTAATTTCAATAGGTAGTTGTTTTGGACAAATTTTGTCATTTTGGCCCAAAAAGATTAGAGTTTGGGCCTAATGACTCAAAAAATTTAGAAATAGACTTATGGCTTGAGTGCCCTTTTAATTATGTATATTATTAATAGATAGGGCACTTATGAGCCGGTTCTGTTTACTAAACTTATTTACTTATCAATCTTATTCTATTTTTCACCTATCAATATTTCCAAAATGCCATCTTCTTATCTTTTGCATCCTCATTATTCACATTGCCATGATTGCACCTTTCACCGCCAAAGACCACCTCGACTATAGGAGACCACTTCCATCTGCCGAAGTCAGAGACCACCTCCAGCCATCGTCTCCAACCACTGGCAACCACCTCCAACGATATTTTTTTTGGGTACTAATTTTTGAAACTTATTCTGCCATTTTTTTGAAGAAAACTCAACATTCATCTCCGCTACGTTACTCTCTCATTCCTTCTCAGATTTGGTAATAACAAGAGAAATAGAAAAGAAGTAGAAATATTTAACAGTGATAAATTTAAGGAGCCGCCATTCCCACTCCACTTTACTCTAAATATACTTTATTCTTTATCCTTATTATACATATGAGGGAGTGTATTTGGAGCAAAGTGAAGTGGGAATAGTAATTATTTATAATAAGGACAAAGAATAGAGTGTATTTGGAGTAAAGTCAAATGGGAATAACGACTCTCTAAATATATCACTATATCAATATTTATCAAACCAGTTAATCACTTATTCTCTTTCACTATCACACTGACACTTATATGCATGCACCGTCCCTCACTTATTCATTCAAAGAAATACATTCACACACCTACATATAAAAAATGAGTAAGAATGATAAATTTATCGCTTAAATAGATTTATCTAGATTTATCACTAATAAATGTTATTAGTGATAAATTTGTCATTGTATCAACATTTATCAAACTAGTTAATCACTTATTCTCTTTCATTATCACACTTACATTTACATACATGCACACTCCTTCACTTGTTCATTTAAAAAAACGCATCCACACACATACACAGAAAATAGTTTCTCCAGTGATAAATTTATCACTGACACAAATTTCTCCAAACATTAGTTTACAAGTAATTAAAAAATAGAGGTGTGATTTGAAAAATCTCTGTCTCTTTCATCATTATCATCATCATCTTACAAATCCAAAACAAAACCAAATAATAAAAAAAAAGTGCTCAAAACCAAACCTAAACAAAAACAAATTAAAAAGCAAAAACATTTCTAACCAAGAAATTTTTTCAAATTCCAGTGCGGTTGTCGAGATATTTGCGATGGATCTAATATGATAGAGTGTAGATTGGCGATGGTGAAGTGTTGATCGAAGAAGATAAAGTATAGATCGAAAATAGTAAAGCATAGTTAGAGAAGATAGAGTGTAGATTGATGACGACGGTGGTAGATCGACGACGATGGTGGTAAATCAATGACAGTAAAGTATAGATCGGAGATAGTAGAGTGTAGATCGGTGATAATGAAGGTGATTGGTGAGCGGTGGCGGTGGCAGTGGCAATGGCGATCAACGGTGGATGGTAGCAGTAGGTGTGCTAACGGTGGTAGTGTGTGGTGGTGCTGTGAAGCTTCATAAATGGTAAAAAGATGAGAGAGAGAAAGAGAGAGTTCTCTAGAAAATATTGGAGAGAGAAGAGGAGAACAAATATTTAATGTGGGTAATATATAGAGTTATTTGTGCATTTAAAAAGTCAACAAGACTTATGAGTAAGTAATTTCATTTAGTGGGACTGAGCAATAATTAACCCTTAATAGATTAGAATAAGTAAGAGTATCTCTAATGCTTCATCAAATTTGAGTAAAAAATTGATGAAAATTTTGATCTGATATGATGCACTCCAATAGTAAATTTAAAATTTTTATCAAATCTTTTTACAAAATTCCTAATTCATCCCAAAACCTGATTGACACACAGGTTGTCTGTCTGGTCATCCTGCCTAAGAGTAAATTTTCATCAAATCTTTTTACAAAATTTTTAATTCATCCCAAAACCCGATTGACACGCAGGTTGTCTGGCCAATCATCCTTCCTAGGAGTTCAGTTGAAGCCTCTACAAACCAACGGTCACTTGCAAATTTGATAAAAGGATAAAAGTTCCCTTGATTTGATGAAAAATATAGTTCTCCCATCATTTGATATGAATTTAATGAAATAGTTGGAGCACAATTTTAACTAATTTTTCATCAAATTTGAATTTGATGAAAGATTGGAGATGGCCAAACAAGCCTTATTTTTAGGGTATAATTAAACTTAATTCTCATCAAGTCCTATTGAAAATAAGTCCTAGTAAAATCGTTGTTCAAATAATTTTTTATGACGATTTTTTGCATATGTTACTAAAAATTGATAATTAATGATTTTCTTTTGTGACGAATTTTTCAAACTGTCGCTGAAAGTTAAAAATTAATGACATTTTTTTGTGACGATGTCACTAAAACTTATAATTAATGACATTTTTTGTGACAAAAATTTCAAACTATCGTTTAAAATTAATAATTAGTAATATTTTTTAATAGTGTTTGATAAAAAAATGTTATTAATTCTTACAAGACCTATTGAATAATAAATTCACCTATTAAGGTCTACACATGAGTCTCTTTCTTTAATGCACACAATGACAAGATGTTTAAAATTTGATACAAGTGTAAAATGTCTCACTTTTAATAAACATCCATGACAAGTTATAAAAAAAAAAAAAAGGCAATATACTCTAAGAAGATTATTTAGATTAAGATTAATTATTAAACTGAAATTTAAAAACACATTTTATTTTTTATGGATGATAATTCAATGATAGTAATGCTTCATCTCCAATCCTGCTATTAGATTTGTTATCAAATTTAAATTTGATGAAATATGCTACTTTTTAGGTTTTAATCATGCCATCAAACTTGTATTAAATGAGAGAAAAATTATTCCTCAAATTAGAGAAGCATTTAATCATTCATCAAATTTCGCAAGTAACAATTGGTGGACGACCGGGTGGATGACTGACTAGTCAACCGAGTAGACAACTAGATTGAAAAAGATTTGATACAAATTTACTCTAAACCAAACGATCGGTCAGATTTAATGAAACAATTAGAGCGCATCATATCAGATTAAATTTTTAGTCAAATTCAATCAAAAAATTGATGGATTGTGGTAGATGCTCATAAAAAAAAAAAAAAAAACGAAAAAAAAAAAAAAAAAAAAAAACGTGCAGGTGGGAGTTGGGAAAAAAATTTACAAATACATGGAGGTGTAAGTGTATTTGTGGTAGAGTGCAAATGCAGGCTGTAAGGGTGTAAGTGTCACTTGTATCTTTCTATGTTGGTAATTTTTTGAGTGGTGTTATTAGCACCCCATGAATTATTTTGGACCCCCTATTTCTTTGGACTACCACTTATAAATTTTGAAATCTTTAAAATTTATTCCCTCAAATAATACCAAAATTATCATTGTGAAAATATTCCACCCATTGAATGCACACCCACCTACACTCCAAAAAAATCACACTTCCAAAAAAACCCTAACAAAGCCCACGAAGAAAAAGAAGAAAAGACCATGTGATTATTGTCTCTGCTACCTCATCCACCATTATCACAGTTAGTACGCTCTCTTTCTCTCTATATATATACACATAATTTCTTAGTTTTCTCATAATAATTTCTTCTCTTGTAAAAAAAAATTATAATAATTGGTTTAGTTTTCTCAGTAAACAAGTCTGAGCCTATGAATAATGTTCGGTTACCTCTCTCCAAACAAATAATAAATGTTCGATTACCAGTTCTTGAAGAAATAAACAATGTTCGGGCCTGTGTTCCTGAATTTCGGTCATATGTTCAGGAGTTTAGTCCTGAACAAATGACAAACATATTTTATTATTTTTGTCATTTTTTTTTCAAGAAACTTATCCTTACAAGGCTAATCTTCTATGAGTTAAGAATAACATCAAAGTTATGAATCTCCTCAAAGCTTTTATTGTTGTACTCCTCTCGTCTTATGGAGTTATGATTGTCAGAAAAAATTTCACTCATTGTTATTGCCGAAGAAGTGTAAGTAATCAAATGGTTGCTACTGTTACCTCCGAAATATTTTTGTCAAAGGGTTTTCAAAATTTTGAAAGTGTGTAGGTTTTGAAAATGGGATTTTGGGAAGATGGATAGGTGGTGGTGGAAGTAAGTGCTCTCATAAATCGTAATTCAAGATGTAGTAGATGTGTAGATTTAATTATGAGATGAGATGTCTAAAAATTAATGATGTCTTTTTTAATAATTTTATTTAAAATTATTATTATAATAAAAAAAATTAAAAATTAAGACCCAAAATAATTTATGAAATGCTAATAACAACTGTCAATTATTTTCTTAACTCTCGTCTACATGTAGTTTTATGGATAAATAAATAAATAATCGACGTCAGAAGAAAACAAAAACAAAACAGTAATGAGGTGGTCAACATCAAACAAAGGTCAATATCAAACAAACAAAACCATCAAGCCAGCCTAGCTTATTGGTTGCATTGACGATAAAATCAAGGCAGAGAGAGGGAGAGAGTGTGTCCCGAGTTGCGGATGAGGTTGAGTTCTCAGATTCTATTTTTTGGTGCGAAACATTTTAAGGATAATTTTGTGTGTGTTTGATTTTGATTTGATCCAAGTGACAGTAGGTTATTCCTGAAATTTGAAATTGAAGAAGAAGAAGAAGGAATTGTCTGTTACAGTACCACCACTGATTCACTCATATTATTCTATTTGTAATTTCTTCTTGTTCTTGTTTGAATGGCGAATGTACATGAGGCAGTCGTGAGACTGGTTGTTGCGCTACTGGTTGTTACTCTCTTATCTGGTCCGATCTGCATATTTGGAAAACAATCGCAATCGGCGCTGAGATTCGATAGAAATGGGGAGTTCAGAATATTGCAGGTTGCGGATATGCACTATGGGGATGGCAAAACCACCCCTTGCGAGGACGTGTTGCTGGGACAGGTCCGCGGTTGCTCAGACCTCAATACCACCGCCTTCCTCAAACGCATGATCCTCGCCTTCAACCCTCACCTCATCGTTTTCACTGGTACTACCCTTTTCTCCTTCCCTCTTTCTATCTCAACCCTACCCTTAGGCTCTGTTTGATTAACTCAATTAAATAGTGAATGGATTAATATTAGTCTATGTATGGATTAGTAATATAAATAATAATTTCCTCTTGTTCACGTTTATTTTGCAATGGACATGGGAATATATAATGGGTCAATTTTGTAGGATAGAATGTCCATCCGAAACTAATTTGGATAACAAAAATTACAACTAAATAATAGAATGTGAGTCTGATGGATTAATAATCTTAATTCTTTGTTATAATTGGTCCAATCGAACTCGCCCATATATCTTTGTGTAGATCTGATGCTATTGTTGCTTCAGTTTCTAGCCTGTTACAATAAGTTAGGAGGAGGAGATAAAAAGAAAATGAAAAAAAAAGGTAGGTTAGGAATTAGGAGAGCATGGAACAAAAAGGAAAAGAAAGGAGAGTGATAGAAGAGATAAAGAAGACAGAAGATGGGTTTTCTCCCCTTTTCTTTAGGAAAAGATAAAATGAGAGAAAATAAGTGAAAATAAACTTTTATTATACAAGTAATTAGAGAGGGAAACTGAAAACCACTTTTCTTTAAAAATTAGGGGCAAAGCCCACTTCCCACTTCCCACTTGTATGATTGCAAAAGCTATTCAAATGGAAGGATTGAGTTTTACAAGTATGCAAGGCTAAATCAACATAATATTTCATCATGGAAGATCTCATGAAGTTCACTATGAATCATTGCGTACTTATTATCCATGATTTTTTGTCTTCTTTTGAAACTGAGATCACCAGAACATTAGAAAAAGAAAAGTATTAAAGAAAAGAAAATGGCTTCCATTGATGGTTTTCTTAATTGCTTCATTGTTTCTTCCACATAACCAAAGCTCCCAGGCTCCATTCTTATATTCACTTGGCAAACATCCTCAAGATATTATCCAATTCTCAAAAATAATCATAAAGCCTTTAGTTATATAGCAGGCAGTACTTGAATAATATATTCAATTTGTTTAGTTCCTCCTTGAAAAGGAAAATTTGGCCTTTTATTTTTTTGGAGCATGAAAATTTGGGCAATTTGCAATGGTGCTTCTGGTCACAGTTGCTAAATAGTTGAGAATTCTAACATTAACAGAGGCGCAAGGGTTCCTTGGAACAATAAAAAAAAATTATTGGATGTCTATCCTTCATTGTTTTTTATTTGAAATTGTGATGAGAAAAAAGAAAAAAAAAGAAAAAAGAAAAAGAAAAAGAAAAAGAAAGCCCTCAATGATCGTATTAATTCAAACTGGCTTGCCTTATTGGACGCTTATTGTAATCATTTGGCATACGTACCTCAAAAGTTTTTCCTAATCTTGAGCTTTGCATAAAGCAATGTTAAAATGTGCTGTAAGTATTTATTGGGCTGGAATGCAGGGGACAATATCTTTGGATTTGATGCAACAGATGCAGCTTCTTCCATGAATGCTGCTTTTGCCCCTGCAGTATTGGCCAACATCCCTTGGGTTGCTATTCTGGGAAACCATGACCAAGAATCTACCCTTTCAAGGGAAGGGGTGATGAAACATATTGTTGGTTTGAAGAACACCTTATCTCAGCTTAATCCTCCCGAGGTGCATGTCATTGATGGTTTTGGGAACTATAATCTGGAAATCCATGGGATTGAGGGTTCAACTTTTGCAAATAAGTCAGTTCTCAACCTCTACTTCCTTGACAGTGGTGATTACTCGACAGTTCCCTCCATCCCTGGTTATGGCTGGATCAAACCCTCTCAGCAGTTTTGGTTCCAGCGCACTTCCATGAAGCTTCGGGTAACAACCTCACACTTCTTTTTATTTTTATGTTACTTTGTTTTTTTGGGGGGTTTACTCATTTTAGTGTAGTGCTTTGTCTGAGTTAGTTGTATCATCCAGCATTATGCATTCCCTTCGTTGTCTAGTGCTCTCTGTTTGGGTTATTGTGGCCCAAATTAAGCAGATTGCTTTTGCCGGACTTTTGATTAATTTTATGCGTTAATTTTTTTTTTATTGAAGTCTCTTATGATTGTCCTTGATGCAGAGAGCATACATGAACAAGCCAGAGGCCCAGAAGGCTCCTGCCCCAGGTCTTGTATACTTTCACATTCCATTGCCTGAATATGCAAGTTTTGACTCATCAAACTTCACGGGTGTTAAACAAGAAAGCATTAGCTCTCCTTCTGTAAACTCTGGCTTCTTCACAACTATGGTGGAAGCGGGTGATGTGAAGGCCGTTTTTACTGGCCATGATCACGTCAATGACTTTTGTGGTGAGCTAACTGGCATACATCTCTGTTATGCTGGAGGCTTTGGATACCATGCTTATGGGAAGGCTGGATGGGCAAGGAGAGCAAGGGTAGTGGTAGCATCTATGGAGAAAACAGAGAAGGGAGGTTGGGGAGCTGTAAAGTCTATCAAAACTTGGAAGCACCTCGATGATGAAAAACTCACTACTATTGAAGGTCACGTGCTTTGGAGCAAGAGTTCTGTTGGTAATGCTTCTTCACTTGTACCCTAAGAAGCATGGACACGGGCATGTGACACATGAACACATCAACACAGAAATTTTCAAAACATTTAGGTCATGACGCATGGGGGACACTTGCATAATATATAATTTTATATATTTATTATGTTGTATATAAGGATAAATAAGTACTTCATGTCATATATATGAATATTTAAGTTAAATATAATAATTTTTGAAGTCTAAAGGAGGAGAGTGGGTATAAATTTGCATCATTTTTGTTTTATTGTTGGATTCAAAGTTATTTTATTTAAACTTGTTATGTGCTTCACGTGTGTATATGTTAGGCATTGTCTAATGAGTGTCATGTCAGTGTCAGACACGACACGTTACCTTATTAGAAATGTCCATGCTTTTTAGCTGGTACCTTTCCTCTCTCTGGTATTGGTCCTTTCAATTCGTCATACTGATAGTGAATACTGCTTGAGGAACATTGATATGGTTTCATGTCATTGGGTATTCTTGAAATGGCTAGGTTTCATGTCATTGAAATGGCTAGGTTCACAAAAACTGACCCCAACATTGGAAGTATAATGGACATCTCCTTCCTTCTAAAATATATTATTATTTTTTATTTCTTTTACAAAGGTGTTGCTAACACTATTACCTTCTTTCTCACATTCGGTATACTTGTTAGAATAAATGTTAGTGTGCTTTACTTTTCTCTTTCTTTTCTCTTTTGACTGGGAATAAATAGCAACTTGATGGCATAAGCTTTCGTATTTCCATTATAATATAATGCTAGTGTGTGGCTATATGAAATATTGGAGTATTAATCCCATGTTATTGAGTCACTCAGTAATTTTTTAATTAAAATACTTGACGATCTGTTTGTTTTGGTGGAAACTGTTTTATGAAAAACATTTTTCGATGTTTGGACAACGAAAATGATAATTAATGAAAATGTTTTTTCTGGTCAACTAAATGAGCTGAGTTGAGCACAAAATGTTTTTCGGACTTAGTGAGATGGACCAGACTCTTACCAACACCACTACCATTATCACCATCACTGCCACTGCTGCCACCTCTACCAGTACCACCACCCCATCCTATCACAACACTGTTGCCACTACCACAACCACCTGCACCATTATTTTCAGGGTAAAACCAAACATTGATTAACTTTCTTTTTTGTAGAAAACTCTTTTTTTCTGAGGAAATTTTTCCGTTAAAACAAATGACGCATTATTATTAATTTTCTTGGTGGTCCTAGCATCTACGTTTATACTCAGATGTTCATGCATTACATTTGTTTGTGTGAAAATTTTCATCTGCATGAAAAGGGTTCATGGGCTTCAAATTTTTATTTTTTTTAAATATGATTTTGCTATGTTCTCAATGCAAGTGTTTGGCTACTGTCAATCACGTCCACAGTTCATTTCCTTTCAATGTACCCTAAAAACAAGTTCATTTTCTTTCCCTTAGCATGTTCTGGTTTCTCATTTTGTTCTCGGGTTTCTCTCATTTCTTATTTGTGTTGCATTTTGACAGGTGACCGCAGGAAGAAACAGATTGGACGTGCTTAAGTGATATGCAGTAGTATAATTCATACATTAAATGGCTGTGGAAGCAAAGATTTACATCCGGGTCAATTGGAATGTTGTAGTTTTGTAGTGTTGTATTAATATTCTGATATAATGTTTTAGACTTATGAGAACATTATACAACATTTTTACAGAAATTATGAAACTATGTTACGCAATAAGATCAAGAATAAAATGGATAAATTTTGTATGTATTCTTGTTTCATTCTTCTATTTTTGTTTTGTTTTGTTTTGTTGTTGAGATTGGCAGTACACATTCTTGAATATGGTCATTATTAACACATGGGTGATGATTTTTTTTTTCATCCTTATTTCAGTAGAAAGAAGGTTAATAGTTTGAGGAGACTACAATTTGCAGGGTCTGTGAATGCTATATTTTGAGGTGAGGCCTTGGATCATATTTTGAGCCTGATGTTTTAGTTTAGATGACGGCAAAATTACTTGATTCTTGACTGGCACTGTTTCAGATTATTTATATAGTGGAAACAATTTGTTGATTGTGTTCAATACTCAAAACTCAAATACAAAAAGGAACTGGAGAGAACCCTCTCCCAAAAAGAAAACCTTTCAATTGATTGGGATAAGAAGGGCAATACACCATAAAACAAAAAGGTAGTCACCTTCCAAAAAATATATGTTGTTGCCAATAATTTCTAGCATATTGTCCATGGAATAAACTTTGGCCCTTTATATGCTCTTCAGCGTTGGAAAATGGTCTCTCCTTTTGGCATTTGGTAGCGACATTCTTTTCTTGTTGCTGAAGGTTGACTTGAGGTGACACATTCAGCTTTTTGTGTTCAAAACTCATCACCAACACCAGTAGTGTTTAACATTACGAGTTAATCACACCATGAGTTTTTACTGATCTCTGACATGTAATTAGTTGAGCTAAATAAATTAATTACAGAATGAGACATAAACACACTCACAGTTGTTCGATTTCGTGATGTATTTATGTGTTCATAACATTAATAATGATTAACAGCACATGGGGTTCTCAATAGGAAATTCCATTATACTTTTGGGATTAGATTTATTTCTTCTTACTTCCAATTATAGTAATAGTAATGGGAACAAGAAGTAATGGATTCCATACCCAATAAAGGGATTGCTTGACGGGCCACATCAACTACTTTTTGAAGAGTGAAGAAGATGCTTATTATGAGGTCCAGAATTTGAAATATCACTTTACTCATAATTTGAAATATGAGGTCAAGAATCTTCCATGGAGTGACTGTTGAGTATCTCTCTTTATTAAAGTATAGGACTTAATTGGTTTATTAAAATATTTAATTTGGTTTAGTGTTGATTATAATATATTATACCTAACTTTTAAAGACTTAATGGATATTTAATAATCTGTTTAATAACAGTTAGAGTATCAATAAAAGCTCTGAAACCAACATCATATATGTTTTTTTTAGTTCTTCCTTTGGAGAGGCAGCTGCGAATTGTTCTTCCGTGTGATAGTGCTTGGGTATGATTTGTTGGTGAGATTGGTGCTTGTCAATTTGGTGGGTTGGTTCTCAAAGTTTAGCTTGCTGTGAATTCAATTCGGTGGAATTTAATTCGGTGAAGCTATTTTTTATCTGGATTTGTGGTTTTCTTCAACTTTGTTTCGAAGATAATTTTCTTTATCTATTTGGTGAGATCTTTCCTCTTGTTTATTTGTGATTATTTGGAATTCACTTAAGAGTGGTTTGTGAGATCATTCGTGTCTCGTTTGGAAACTTTTTGGTTGATAGTGAAATCGGATTGCGATCCCGTGAATGTATTTCACATTGAGGGAACCATGTAAAAATTCTTATGTTGCTGTTGATTTAATTTTTCCACGTTAGTTTTTATTCCCATTGATTGATTTACTTGTGGGAGATCATCGATTTTCCTCAACAATTGGTATCAGAGCTTACGGTTTATTTTGGTTTATTTATTTGTACAAATCAATGGAGGGGAATGTGGGTCACATGTCTAGCTTCAATGGAAGCAATTGGGTAATTTGGACGTACCTCACATTGAGGGAACCACGTAAAAATTCTTGTGTTGCTGTTGATTTAACTTTTCCACATTAGTTTTTATTCCCATTGATTGAAATCAATCACTCAATTGCTCTCTTGGCCCACAAAATTGATACAATCATCTTTACAAACTACCATGAGATCATCAGTAGTAACCGCCGTTGTGTCTTCTTGTTTTTTATCCACACTTTTGTCACGCATTTTCTCCTTATTCTTGAGCTTTTGGCATTCCAGCTTCATGTGCTCTTTCGCATGGCAATAATAATACTCAATGTCTTTTTTTGAAAAAAAACTATCTCTTGATTTGTCACGACTTTGATAGCTCATAGAAGCAAGTTGGTTAACGATACTCTTTATTTCATTCAAATGTTCCGGAATAGGGCTGTCATCTGTATATTTTAAATTAACTAACTTACGAAACAGAAAAACTTTATTTGTGGTTGATTTTCTGTTATAAAGGCCTTCTAATTTTTTTCTATAAATCATGTGCCGAAGTTTCAGTAGCAACATGATAAAATACACTGTCATCAATCCATTGACGGATAACACCAACGACTTTTCGATTAAGCCTCTTCCATTCATCATTTTGCATACCCACAGGTTTGCCACTATCACCCTCAATAAATCCTCCATTTTAGTTTTCCGAGTTGTGCAGCCACCTATTAAAGATGTGAAGGATGATGCTAATCTTAATGAAGTTGAGCCAGAAATTGAGGAAGAGCATCCAACTCAAGAACCGCCACCACAACTTGAGTTGAGGAAATCTACATGGGACCGATAACCTTCGAGAAAGTATCCTCCCAATGAATTTGTATTGATTTCCGATCAAGGGGAGCTCAAGAGCTACCAAGAAGAAATTGAGCATACGAAGAAAGATGATTGGAAAAAGGCCATGGAAGAGGAGATGAATTCATTATTTGAAAATTACACTTATGATTTAGTGAAGTTACCTAAGGGGAGGAAAATTCTGAAAAATATGTGGGTTTTCAAATTGAAGAATGATGGCAAGAATCTGAGATACAAAGCACGTCTTGTTGTGAAAGGCTTTGGGCAAAAAAAAAGGTATTGACTTTGATGAGATTTTCTCGCTGATTGTGAAGATATCTTTTATTTGGGTTGTACTTAGCATGGCCGCAAGTATGAACCTTGAAGTTCACCAACTTGATGTGAAAACCGCATTTCTTCATGGTGTCCTTAAAGAAGAAATTTACATGAAGCAACTAGAAGGTTTTGTAGAGAAAGAGAAAGAGAAATAGAAATTTATTTGCAAATTGAAGAAAAGTTTGTATGGCCTCAGGCAAGTCCCATGGCAATGGTACAAAAAATTTGACTCTTTCATGATGAATAATGGTTTTTCTAAAACCACTTCAGACCATTGTGTGTTTGTAAAAAAATTTCCGGATGGCAAATTTATTATTCTTTTGCTTTATGTTGATGACATGTTAATTGTGGGTCACGATTATACTATGATTAACAAGTTGAAGTTAGAGTGGAGCAAGTTGTTTTCTATGCAAGATTTGGGGCCGGCAAAGCAAATACTTGATATGAAAATTGTTCGTGATCGCAAAAAGTGGCTGATTTGGTTGTCTCAAGAAAGCTACATTGAAAAAGTTCTTGAGAGGTTCAACATGGATAAAGCGAAGTCGGTTGCTTGTCCACTTGTGGGTCACTTCAAACTTAGTTCGAATCAATGTCCTACAAGTGAGAAAGACAAGGAAGAGATGTTGAAAATTCCTTATGCTTCAGCGGTTGGTTTTTTGATGTACGCCATGGTTTGTATAAGGCCAGATATTGCTTACGCCGTTGGTGTGGTGAGTTAGTTTCTCTCTAATCCGGGTAAAGAACATTGGGCAGTGGTGAAGTGGATTCTAAGATATCTTCGAGGGACTTCGAAGGAGTGTTTGTGTTTTGGAGATGGTAAGCCGAGGCTTGATGGGTTCACAGATTCTGACATGGCCGGTCATGTTGATTCTAGGAAATCTACGTCAGGGTATTTGATGACATTTGCAGGGGGAGCTGTGGCATGACAATCTAAATTACAAAAATGTGTTGCTGTCTCAACTACCGAAGCTGAATTTATTACTATTACGGAAGCTTGCAAAGAAGAGTTATGGTTGAAGAAATTTTTGCAAGAGTTGGGTTTGAAGCAAGAGAGGTATGTGCTTTATTGTGATAGTCAAAGTGTTATTCATTTGAGTAAAATTCAACTTTTCATTCGAGATTGAAACACATTGATGTGAGATACCATTGGATTCGTGATGTGTTAGATTCGAAATTGTTGTAACTCTAAAAGGTTCATACGGATGATAATATTTTGGATATGTTGATTAAGACTTTGTCGAGGGACAAACATTTAAAGTGTCGAACTTTGGCGGGTATGGTTGATGTCTCCACCTAAGTCGGTAAGGGGAGAATTGTTGGGTATACCTCCTTATTAGAGTATGAGACCCAATTGGTTTATTAAAATATTTAGTTTGGTTTGGTGTTGGTTATAGTATATTTTTAATATATTATACTTAACTTTTGGAGGCCCAATGGATATTTAATAATCTATTTGGTAACAGTTAGGGTTCCAATAAAAGCCCTAGAATCAACAATACATATATATTGTTTTTAGTTCTTCCTTTGGAGCGGCAGCAGCGAATTGTTCTTCCGTGGGATAGTGCTTGGGTATGATTTGTTGGTGAGATTAGTGCTTGTCAATTTGGTGGGTTGGTTCTTGAAGTTCAGCTTGCTGTGAATTCAATTCAGTGGAATTTAATTCGGTGAAGCTATTTTTTATCTAGATTTGTGGTCTTCTTCAACTCTGTTTTGAAGACAATTTTGTTCATCTATTTGGTGAGGTCTTTCCTCTTATTTATTTGTGATTATTTGGAATTCATCTAAGGGATTCGTGTCTTGTTTGTAATCGTTTGGAAACTTTTTGGTTGATAGTGGAATCTGATTGCGATCCCGTGGAGGTACCTCACATAGGGAATCACGTAAAAATTCTTGTGTTGCTATTGATTTAATTTTTCCGCATTAGTTTTTATTCCCATTAATTAATTTACTTGTGGGAAATCATCGATTTTCCTTAACAGTGACTCCACACAGTAAGACAATTAAATTTACACCTTACATTTGAAATTCTGAGGAACTTTGTGGGCTGGAATTATGGGTAAATAGATTTTCTGTTAATTTCATTCTTGATTAACAGCAGAATGGCTGGAGTGGTCTGGATTGAATTTCTGAGGTCAGGAGATGATGCACATTATGATCTAGCAATTGATTCCAAAATCTCCAACTTACCTGACAGAATCTAGCATAAAGGAGCATTAATGACGTGAAAATTACTATAGAACTGCAAAGTTCATTGCCAAAAATTTTGATGTGATATTGAGAGTAAAAGCATGTTTATTCCCACCTTTTTCCTTTTCTCAGATCTTTGGAAGAAGGGGGAAGGAGAATGAAAAGTTATTCAGTGGTTTGGGACTATTAACTTAGATTTGATACTGACCAATTATGATCGGTCAAATTAAAAAGTAAAAAATTGGATCTGAGCTCACCTTTTAACCTTTATGGGAATTAAGTCTTGACAAAGTAGAACTTCAAGTCTCACTTTTTCTTATGTGACTGGTTGTAATTGGTTGAGGATCAATACAACATGGTGGTCTGGAACCACCCGAATTGGACTCAAGGGTAGACCTTTCTCGATATATATGTACATACACACGCAAACTGAAGAAACACAAGGAACTTGAAACAAGTAGGAGGGCTCTTCCAAAGTATTGTCAGTAGCTGTAGTGGCTATTTCAGATTGCAAGCTAACATGGATTGTTGTGAAAAATGGAAGCCATTTGCTGCAATGGTGGCTGTTGATTTTGCTTTGGCTGTTGTCAACATACTTCTTAAGAAGGTGCTGAATGAAGGAGTAAACCATTTGCTTATAGTCACCTACAGACAATCAATTTCAGCAATTTTCTTAAGTCCCATAGCCTTCTTTTGGGAAAGGTATGGACCTACTACTCAATTTATATGTAGTTTCCTTTAGCAGTAGAGTAGACCAAGAGACACTGTTTCCCTAAGTAGATACTTTTATTTCAATTTTTTTTGGAGTGTCCAGTTCAGTGTTTCTCATTCATAACTATGGCTTGGACTAAAAAAAGCAATTTTTTTTGTAGTCGTTAATCGTTGCTTTCGACGTTCAAAATATATTAGTACATGCTTCTATAAGTCAATTCTCTTGCAGGAAAGGCAGGCCGAAGCTCACTCCTCTCATCCTAGGCCATCTTTTCTTTAGCGCGCTGGTTGGGTTAGTTACAATCATCTATATCTTCTTGCTTGAATCTTTTGTATCCAAAATTTCTATTTTCCTGTACCCAATGCATTCCGAGCCACACAATCGTGATTCTCCTTATATAGTATGATTGAGAGTACATTAGGTACATGAGACCAGGAATTTTGAATACGGAAGATTCCTGGCCATTAATGCAGTTAACAACAATTGTCACTCAATATTAAATGCTACCATTACACTCATGATTCAAAACCACTTAAAATGTTTTTTGTTTTCTGTTTTTTGTTTTTAGGTCTACACTCACGCAGTACTTCTTCCTTCTTGGGCTGCAACATACATCAGCAACTTTCACATGTGCTTTCATCAACATGGTGCCAGTGAACACATTTATTATGGCATTGCCATTTGGGTAAGTCTTGCTAATCTATGACCATGCCACTATGTTGTTTGGGCCAAGGCTCATTTGTACTGATCAAAACGATGTTTTCATACAATTGTGTGGTTGAGAGTGTATTGGATCATTAGCGGTGCTACATTGATTGGGGTGGCTCAATCACATAACCGAACACAACCATCTCATAAGAGGTGGATCCCACCTTATTGAGAGTCTCACACCAATGTGAGAAGATTATGTCTGATTCTGTGATCGATTTCTGTGTTTCTAAAATAACGATGTTTGAAAAATGGTAACATTAACTCCATGACATACAACTCCAACAGGCTAGAGAAAGTGAACACAAAGAGCAAGAGTGGGAGAGCCAAAGTGTTAGGTATGGTGGTTTCTATCGGTGGGGCACTAGTATTGACACTATACAAAGGAATGCCATTAACAAAATCACCACCGGAAACAATAGGAACTATGGTTCAGAAAACAGAGCATGCAAACAAGAGATGGCTCATTGGTTCAGTTGTTTTGAGTGCAGGAAGCCTGACGTGGTCTTCATGGTTCCTTCTACAAGCTAGAATTGGGAAGAGATACCCATGTCAATATTCTAGCACTGCCATCATGTCCATCTTCAGTGCTATCCAGTCTGCCATCTTGGGTTTGATTATTGACAGGAATGTTTCCAATTGGATTGTCAAAGGGAAGTTTGAGATCTCAAGTCTCATATATGCTGTAACCTACACTTTTCCCTTTGCAATTTTTTATTTCATTATTCAGTAGTAGTTTTGAAGCACCAACTCAGCACGTTAAGATAGTGCTGTTAGACCAATAAGAGCCATAGTCACAACATGAGGGATAATTATTAAGTAGATTCAAAGCACTATGACACACTTACACGATTCTTCAAATCAATCACCTAGCAAAATTTTTTTTACAGCACACTTACACGATTCTTCAAATCAATCACCTAGCAAAATTTTTTTTACAGGTGGGACATGGTAACTGTGTTTTGTTAGGTAGTTGGAAACAAAAAATGACCCACTTAGTGTATATTAGTGTATATTGTTACTTTTTATTTGCCGGGAGTACCATGTACGCAATGTCACATGTTACTCCTCTGGCAAATAAAAAATCACAATACATACTAAGTGAGTCATCATTTGTTTCTCAACTACCTAACAAAGGCAAGTTAGCATGTCATACCTATAAATTTTTTTGCTACATCATTAGTTTGGAATAATGCCATGTGATGATCTAGAACTACGAATAATTAGCTCAAAAGGAGTGAGAACCAACCTGCCCGTCTTGGTCGACTGGTTGAGAGACAAAGTCAGCCTCATCCATCTTAATTTTTTGCGATTTCATTTATCAAGAACACCGTCTATACATGTCACAATGGTGCTCCAAGTCTACTGAATAATTTTCCATGCATTGTTTTGTAAAAATGAATCCAACTTTATTATTAGAATCATTGACAAGCTTGTTGGTCCATGAAATGGAAATACAGGGGATGGTAGGATCAGGCTTATGCTACGTGGTGATGTCATGGTGTGTGAAGAAAAGGGGTCCTGTGTTTACAGCAGCATTTAGTCCCTTCATACAGGCATTTGTTGCCATCTTTGATATCTCCATTCTACATGAACAAATTCACCTTGGAAGGTATCATCTGGATTCTTTCTCTATACACCTGCTGCTAATTATGTTTGTAAAATATCATACACTTTATTTTTAAAATTTCAATTGTCCCACTCAGTATAAGAGTTTATGAATAAACTCTGGATACGTTTCATCACCTGCAAATCAAGTGTATTGGTTAAGTATGAGTATTTTGCGACCGTACAAGTCGAATATGAGACCTCTAAAAATTTACTTCATAGTAGAACTCCCATGTTCAATTTTTTATCCCCTAAGTCATTCATGTGGGTTAATAAAACATGTCATATATTTTTTTATGCCAACTTTTTGCAGGGTTTTGGATAAGAAAACCGGAAAATTGTACTCGTAGTTCATGTCTTTTGTATTAGTTTGATCTCTATAATTCTAATTGTATCAATTGTCTAAATTGTGTTAATTTAGTCGAGTTGATAACATCATTTAAGAAATTGAACAAAAATAAGGACAAATGATCCCTTAAAAGAAAATGAACCATTTAAAATTAGACAGCAACCCCTCAAATCACTTTTGACATGAGTGAATGAGTATTTTCTCCTTTGATTTTACTTTGATTTCTAAAAGAGAGTTATCATCTGATTAAATTGACACAATGTAAGAAATTTAAGGATACAATTAATGCAAATAAAATTACAATGACTAAATTGACAGAAGAAGCAAACTATGGGAATTACGAGTATAATTTTCCTTAATTTTTATAAACATATTTCTTACCATAATTTTTTGTGTACACTACTAAATACACATAGGCACCATGTCTATTTGTTAATGTGAATGCCATTATCTTGTGTCATCATGCTAAAAGAAATTTACATTATTGAGAGATAAGCTTCTCTCTAGTTAGCTGGACATCAAGTCAAATTTTCTGTGCAATAGCCAATGGGTTAGGTCTCACAATGGACCTGCACTCATTGGCCATCTCACAAAAATTAATTGGAGGTTCATTTTATGTATAGCATTACTCTTTAAACAAATCCAGCAATATTATTCTTGATATTTTTTATTTTTGGGTTATGGAAATGATGAAAAACCTTTTATTTTTTTTAGTATAGCTAGAATTGAAGATAACTAATTTCTACTGGAATTGAACAGTGTGCTGGGATCAACCTTTGTGGTGGTTGGCATGTATATTCTTTTATGGGGTAAAAGCAATGAAGCTGATAATTTTATTATAAAGGATGCTCCAACAATGAAAGGGGATGAAGATTCCAATATTCAGTTGTCTTGTGTCATACCTGTGACAGTCACTGCTGGTAATCTAAGCTCTACTTGAAGTATTCAAGGAACTTGTAATTTTGATCAAATTCTTACCAAAAGTCTCATAATCAACCATATTAACTTCTAATATTGATCAGTTTGTAGAATGTATCTATAATTGTTTTAGATCATCAGACAATTAACTTCTAATATTGATCAGTTTGTAGAATGTATCTATAATTGTTTTAGATCATCAGACAATTAGTTTATTACAATTACTTTACTGTTATACATGCAAACTTGTGTTTTATGTCCAAGTTATATACACCCTTATATAGCCTGTATGATAATTTATATTTAATTATTTATACTCTTTTATTTATGTTTATAAAAATTTCAAAAATTATAAATAAAAACTCGTTTAGTATGTAATTTTGTTCTTAAAAATTTGTGACCAGTTTACAGAAAAGTAACATGGCTAGTGGATATGAATTAAATTACATGTTTGATTAGTTTGATGAATGATTTTTGGATATACAAAAATGGAGGGTAAAATCATCATTATATTTTAGTATATGTACAATTGATAAGAGAATAATTACAAGAGTGATTATACTTATATCACTATTTTACCTCTTTCCACCATTCATCTCATTACACTACTAAAAAAAAATGTGATTCTCATTACACCTATTATATTACCAAAACTAACCCTAAAGTAAAACTCTTCAAAACTCTTTTATCCCTTTACACCAATAGTTTTTGGAGAGAAAATAAGGGAAGGGAACAGAGAAAGACGTAGCAAGGGCAAAGAGAAAGACACAACAAGGGAAAAGAGAAAGACACAGGGAAGACAGTGAGTGGAGCCCATAGTGAAGTGCTTGTTGGGTCACATAGGGAAGATAGTGAGTGGAGCCCACAGTGAAGTGTTTGTTCGGTCACACAATGCTAAACAATTTTTATTCCTTCGGCGTTATATTGCCAAAAAAAAAAAAGATTTCTCCACCATTTTGTTGTTATATATTTACAGAGCCACTTTCTTCCAAACAATGATTTTTAAATTTGTGCCGAGCTTGTTCGGTAATACAATGCTAACTAATTTGAATTAATCCAGTGCCATATTACCGAACAAACTTTTTTTTCCTAGCAATATGTTGCCGTTCGATTGGATGATAACAATAAATTAATTCGGGGTCACTTTGTGAAGTGCCTGTTTGGTAATACATTGTTAATATAAATTAGATTATTCTAGTGTCATGTTGCCAAACTATAATGGATTTGTCTAGTCACCTATCGTTGTACGTTGAATGATTTACTTTTTTCTTCAAGCATCCATAAAAAACATCCATAAATCAAACACACATCCATAAAATCATACATAAAAAGTATCCATAAAAATATTCATAAAAACATCAAGTGTATAAACATTCATAAAATCTGTTATTGTTTACATCCATCAATCAAACATGTTATCACAATTTGTCTATATCAGTAGTTTTGGTAATTACTACGTCAGGGTTGACAAGCGTATGGATTGATGAATACGAGTAGCACATGCTTTCTCCCATCCACTAGCACACGAGTGATGAAAACGAATCCAATTATTTGCTATCGAAGGTATTGGATGACCAGGTTGTAGATAAACCTATAACAAAGACATCAATAAGTAGAAATACAAAATAAGACATGGCAATGATCTAAACAGGCTTGGTAGTTTATACTTGCATCAAATGGTTTCCATTTACAAATCCTATGCAGATATCTCTTCGAACAAGTGTTGCAATTGGTACTGATCTAAGTGATAGAAACGTCAAGTACTGTTGCATGGATAAATGATAAAGAACGACTCAGTAGTATGATACTATCAAATGGCCCATGTCGGACATAGTCATTCAATGATTAAATCCAGAGCCAGTTTCGAAGTAGGATAAGATAGAGGTAAGGTCATTAACCCTTTCTTATGAACCAAATAGTTGCATGTGGTGCACTACATTCGAATGCAGCTCAAGTGTAAGTCTTGGTTTTTTACCATTACCTTCCACATTTGATATCTTTATAATAATGACAAATCCAATCTTCTTCCCAACGTTAGAAGCCCATTTAATTAATGCTTGACGACTACTAAAATCTAAAGATAATAAATACATTTATACGTCAAATTATTAATAAAACTCAATACAAATTAAAAATTAGAAAAAATCGTATTCATAAAAAAACTTAACAAATCTCGTCTGTAATGAATTTATGATTGGAGTCCACTAATAATACAGTACTTGCATGTAGGGGTGTGCATAATACTGCCGAAACCGCTGAAACCGCCAAAACCGCACCAAACCGCACCGCCAAGGCAAATTCGTTATTATTTGCCAATGAACCGCTGGTTTTTGGTAAGAAAAATCCCAAATTCTAGTGACACTTTTATCAATTTGTCGGTTTCTATTTTTCTTCCAAACCGCACCGACCCGCACCCCTATTAAATCATGTTTTATAAGATTCTAAAAATTCTTTTTTACTTAAGTTTGCTTGTTGTTCTATACCTTAGAATATAGTATTACATTACTGCTCGAAGGGAATTCAAGATGTCAGTAATCCAAAATAAAGTTGGATTCCAATTCACTTTTCAATCAAAGCATCAGTCAAGGATTTCCCCTACACAGTGGATGATCTAGTCTTTAAGTGGAAACAGATCAGAGGCACAGTTTGATCATCCAGCTGGTTTTTGAGTCTTATGCTAGCTGCAGTATACTAGCTGTCTGCTTTGTTTGGTCTGCAGACCAACAATGCAGCGTTTTGGTTCAGTCTTTTGCTGGTTTTGGTTCTGTTTTGGTCTGCTGATATGATACACTCAGTTGAAAGTTATGCTTGCTGCTGTTGTGATGGTGGTCTGCTAGTGATTGGTCTGCTCAGCTCTGTTGGTCTGTTTGTTTTTCTTTTGTTGGTTTCTCACCAACTCTTGCATTTCCCTTTTCTCTATTAGTGTATCATGTTTTGTACCTTGTACTTGATCCTTACATCAATAAATTTTTGTCACGCCCCAAGCTCCGTGACAACGCCGCACACTCATTTAAGTGAGCATGCAAGGCTAAGAGTCCAACACAAAACTAACAATGTAAAATATTCAAATTAAATCCTTATTTATCATAATGCTAAAATCCATAAAAATTGATTATTCTTATCATATGAAATTATCCACCTAGTCCACTAATAAAATCCATTAACAAGACAATAATCTAAGTACTTAAATCATAGTCCTACTCTCGGCACTCCCACATGTAAAAATCCCGCGCAGCTCTACTCTTCAGAATCTGAAAAAAATATAAGGGTAAGCTAGATAGCCCAGTAAATAACCAACCATCACTGCTAGCTGGATCAAGTATACAAATAAATAAATAAATAAATAAATCGATAACCAATAAATATAATTTTTTCTATAGTTCAATAAATGAATAATTATTTGTAAGATGGTTTTATAGTTAAAAATAAACAATGTACAATACATTTTAAATGAAAAGCCAACAAGATAATTCAAAGTAATTCGTTGTTCAAATCGATGGTTCGATATTCAGATGGTTCAATGATTTGATTCGCAAAACCCAAGTCTTGGTGACTACGGTCACTTAGCCCGTGACAAGGTCCAGAACCACACATAGGCCGGTGGTAAAGCCCCAAAAGAAACTAGTTTCTGTGCCAATAAATAACCCCCATTTGCTAGGGTCCAAATCATAGTCAGACTAGAGTGATGTTCAAATATTCAAACAATACACAACTTTAAAATAAAATATTCGATATTTTCAGAATAAACATTTGGTACAATTTTCAGAATAGTTTCACAAAATATTCAAATAACTTTCATAATAATATTCGATGTTGTCTTATACTTGACCCATATTTTATTTTAAGAGAAGAAGGCTATAAATAAATATTTATAATTTTAATCGATTCAATAAGAATAAAAACTGAACCAACAGTGATAGAAGGTTACTTACACCAAACGCTTAGAACTAATATTCCAACACCAATTCCAAACACCCAGCTCCACCACTTTAATCACACAAACCTAATAAACAAAACCTCAAATAAATTAATATTTTTACGTGTTACATACACCCACAAAGCCCCCCATATTAGATTAATGTATTGCTTTAATATCCAAGTGATTAAACCATTCAACCCAACTTTATAACCAAACACACCCTTACCCATGATACAAAACTCCATTGTTTCTATTACCCACCCAAAGTTACACTTACACATTGCACCCAATTCTCTAAACCTAAGTAGGCACCTATAGATCTTTCAAATCCCCTTAATGCATTGATTGTTAAATTCCTCAACATAAACTTAATAATTAATGGTAAAGACAGATTTTACCTTAACTAATGGGTGTCCCAAAATCACCAACGTGCTGCCTCCAATCCCTATTGTAGCCTCACTTGAACCTCTCTTCTCTTTTTCTTTTCTTTTTTCTTTTACCTTCTCAAACCCTAGCCGCCTATGGAGCAATTCCCAGCCTCTGTTTTGTTTGTTTTCCAAGACTTAAAGCCACAATAGGTGGGCTTATTAACCTAATTTCTCAAAGTTACAAAATTATCCATCTAAGTAATAGGAAATATAATGTCATCTTATAACTAATTCTTTGATATTAATAAATGACCCATATAAATTAATTTAATTACTAATCTATCTAATAAAATAATCCTACACACAACTTGGGTTTTACAGAAATTATGAAACTTAACATTGTTTATTTCAAAACTATGATCCCACTCATTATATAAATTATAAAGACTCAAAATATCTAAAATTATGTCACATCATCTGTTAATATATTAATTGATATAACAATTAGTACATATAATATTATTCTAATACAATGCTCAAAGAAATAAATGGTATCAAACACTTCTTTATAAATTTAAACTTACAATTTCACACCACAAAAGTAGTGCTATATAATAAATGGACGCTGATTGAGGGCCCGTAATTTCGGGGCTCGAATGCCCCGAAATTCTATTTTAGGTAAAAAAAAAAAAAAAAAAAGAAAGAAAAAAAAAACAGTTTCCAAAATTGGAAATTAGGGATATTAGGGGCAACTTTTTTAGGGCCACCAATCATTTTCCTTGTTGAATAAACAACTATTGAAAAAAAATGAAAGGTTGGAGATGCTTTTATTGATTCCAATTAGAGTAAAATGTTGAGAAATAATATTTATCACTGTATCTTAACCATCTTTTTTTTTTTTTTTTTGTCAATATTGCAAAATGTTAGTCTTTAATAAAATTAGATTACAACTAAAGGGGTCGTTGCTACTCTATCGGCTTAAACCTTAAAGTGTGGCTACAAGATCACTGGACTAAACTTAAGGTCCGAAATTGTCTTTACATTTTGAAAATATGAATTGAGACCTTTTGGGCATTAATGAACATTTATTTTTAAAATTCCTATTTTAAGATGCATTATTTACATTATCCAATAATTATAAAATTAAGGGAAAGCTTTTTCATGACTCCAACATAGGGGTGATAAACGAGCCAAATAACTCAAGCTCGATTCGTGTCTGATTTGTTAAAAGCTCGTTCGAGTTCAGTTTGTTAAGTAAACAAGTCAAGTTTGAACATATTTTAAAACTCGCTAAAGTTTTCAAATCAAACTTAAATAGTTAACTGCTCATTCGGCTTAGTTTGATAAGTCTAAAATTATATAAAATATCAAACTACTCGAGCTCGGCTTGATAAAGTTCGTTTGAGATTGACTCGAAAGTTAACGAACCAAACTTGAACAAATTTTGAAACTTGTTAAAGTTATCAAACCAAACTTCAATAGTTAACTATTCGGCTCGTTCAGTTCATTTATCACTCCTACTTCAAAGAGAGACTGAAACTCTACTTCACCATATTAATAACTAGCGTATACCCGTACTTGAAGGTACGGTATAAATAATATTAGGATTAGAATATAATTATAATCCCAATACTATTTATATGTATGCCCGTAATGTCCTAGTGTATTACGGGCATACATATGTTGTATAGAAATATGTGTAAAATATATTGAACAAAAGGGCAAAAAATAATAAAATAAACAAATAGAGAGAAAAATAAAAATGGAAAAAAATAAAAAAATAAAATGAAAAGAGGGAGGAAGGTGGGATCATGAAAGGATGGGTGATAAAAGAAAAAAGTAAGAGAGAGAAGCGGAAAAATAGAAAATGTACATGTACGATATTTTTTGAAAAATATATCTTAGCCGTTGTTTTATAATTTGAATAGATCTGGGCTGTCCAAATGTCCTAGTAGGACAAATGTGTGTAAGACAAATTCAAAAACCATCCTGCTTTATTATATAGATGTTGAAGATTTATATGAGATCTAAATTTATGAAATCTATCATGTATTTAATATATTTAAAAATAATAAATTTAGTTTCCGCTCTACCCAAAAAAAATAAAAAAATAATAATAAATAATTGTTCAAACTCATTTAATTTGTGGACTATAAAATTCATTAATTTAATCTTCACTACACACGGTAAAATCTGGCTCCTAATTCTAGGATCGCGGACTTTTCCATATAATATGAATAAAAAATAAGTGAAGAAAAAGAAGAAAATAAAAAATAAAATAAAAACAAATAGAGAGAAAAATAAAAATGGGAGAAGATAAAAAAATAAAAAGAAAAGATAGAGGAATGTGAGATCATGAGATTATAAAAGAATGGGTGAGAAAAGGAAAAAGTAAAAGAGAGAAGCGGGAAAATAGAAAATGTACATGTAGGATATTTTTTGAAAACTATATCTCAGCCGTTATTTGGGCCAAATGTCCTAGAAGGACAAATGTGTGTAGGACAAATTCAAAAATCATCCTGCTTTATTATATAGATTTTTGGAGAAATTAGAAAAAATAATTGTAGGATTTGACTTGGCAACAAATTAGACGTTGGATTTTTAATTTGTCTAATTAAACCTTTGATCTTTGAACTTTATAACAATTTGAACCCTTGTAACAATTTCCTACAGCACTAAATAAAAAAAAAATTATTTTCTTGAGTAGGCTTTTTTCAGGATTTTTAATTTTTAAGATTGTCTTATAAATGGACTTTAAAGAAAATAAAATTAGACTGCCAATGGTCCAATTTTCAAAATTTTGAGACAGTTTAGTCTAGGTGCTAGACTCTTAAGTAGGGTTAAGAATGGTGACATGTTATGTCGTTTTCATATCATCTCATTGCGGGTTTGTATTAAAAACACCCTAACACTAATATAAATCCATTTAACTAACTTATTAATTATCTTGATACTAACATGACCTATTTATAATTGTATTAATTTGAACACGATACGCTTAACACAGTTAGCATAAGAATTTATTTTAGATTATAAGCAAATTATATACCATATTTCAAGGAAACCTATTTCACATTATATGCATCAGGGCAGCATGTTTAAACATTAACACACACAAGGATAATATGTAAGGAAAATTACATTTAAGTGGGATCAATTCAAAGTAATTGCATTTACATGGAGGTACAAGTTGCAATAAGTAAGAGTTGTGTCCCATGGAACGAATTTTACTTGTTCAAGACATAGGCTTACTTGCGTCTTTATAAAAATACTATTGTTTTGAGTTATTCCTAATATCCAAACATTCAACAAAACTTTAAAAACAAAATAAAATTTATTTCCATATCAAAAAATTATATGCATATTTGAATGGTTGAGAATAAAGCATTTAAGAATATATGACTACTAGATTTAAGTTACATTTGGATTACTTGCAAGCAGTGACGGAGTTGGAATTTTGGCTCAGATGAGGTAATAATAAGCTAAAATATTATGTCTATAACAGTGACCTCCACCTTGCGGTGCTCGACCCTAATGCATTTAATCTTCAAACGTAATCACAAGTAAACATCCTTTTATTACACAATATATTACCGACAAGAATAAATCAGCAAGGATTATAAAATCTTAATAATAAGAAGAAGAAATTATCATTTAATAAACATTTAAAGGAAGCAAATTATAATAATTTCTTTAAATAAAATAAGTACATAGTAAAATCTAGAGGGGGCAAATTAATAACTATTTGATAAATATATACACTGAAACATAAATTATAGTTAATAGTGGATTCTTGTCTACATGTCGACATGAAATATTATATGGATCAAATAGGTCATGTTCAAATCATGCATGCTCAACCATAACATAATCTATTTAATAATCGTAATGTCGGTCATGTTATATTTATGTTTATGTCAAAAAAATGACAAATCCTAACCCTTTAATTATGTTTACGAGTCGAGTGTTACTAGCAAGTTCATTAACGAGTCTCCTGTTAAATTCTCAGTCCTACTTATAAAGCTATGAGTACAATTAATTTTGTGAGACAATAATGCCCCTCACATGTTCCTCGCCTACCCCTCATGATTTGAATTCTCCAAATTTATTTTTAACAAAATTACTATTTTTGGATTCCTTATGAGATCTTTCAAACAAGATATTTGTTGAATATGAATTTTTAAAAAACAAATGAAAATTTAGATTTGACCGTTTGATATATTTTTTCCTCTTAAATGTAAATTTTAATCACATTAACTTTTTACAAATAAAAAAAGACAAATCGATAATAAGCAAATAATTGAGTTTTTTATTTTTATTTTTTATATTCACATCTTAACATGAGAAAACTTGTGAGGCCCATAGAGCTCATCACAATTCCTATTTCGATGATCAGAACCATTTATTTTGTACGACCATCAATGTATATCATCTATGAAAAAAACTCTATCGATTGATAATCATTACATTTTCATTTTATTCTTGTTTATCTCTAAAAAATGGATGTTTATTTTTAAAAATGTATTTGTCGTCTATTTTTTAGAGACAAATGTCATAAAATGAAAAAAAAAAATTATAATTATTGAATTGGACTAATTTTTTTTTAATGTATGATATACTTTGGAAATCCCATTAAATGAACATTTTAAATTATCAAAACGGAATCTGTACTAAGCTTTACAAATTCTTTAAATTCTCTAATGTTGAGATATGAATATAGGAAAAACTAAACTCATAGAGAAACTAGGAAAAATTTCATTTTAGAATTTTTTTTAAAAATTACAAATAATTAGTAAATTTTATATAAATTAATAATTAAAATTAATTTTTTTTTTATAAATCTATCATTTTAGAATTTTTTTAAAAAATTACAAAAAATTAGTAAATTTTATATAAATTAATAATTAAAATTAATTTTTTTTTATAAATCTATAATAATTTTTAAATAAGCTACATAATTCCTAAAAAACAATAAAATGAAAGTATAACTTTAACACGTAAGAGCATTTTCAATGGTATTTGCTATAATACCATTGTCATTATTATAATTTGGCAATGAATACAAGTAATTTGTCAAATTATAGCAATGGTGCTCCTATGGTATACATGTTATTTTGACAAATTTCAACCAACTTTCTTTCTAAATGGTGTTGTTTGGATATAGGTTTTTTAGTGATTTTTTCTTTTTTTTGTTTATTTTTTGTCTTTTGTGTTCTTTTTTTAACTGTTTGTAAAAAAATATATATATTTACATTATACCCAACAAGACAAATATAAAAAATGAAAAATAAATTGAAAAATTGAAAAAAAAAATTAAATATAATTCAACCCACCAAAAAACAACCACTACAAAAAAAAAACAAAATTACATTGGAACATAAAAAATACTCAAAATTAAATGGACCACTACATTATATTGCAAAATAAAAATGACATTGCAAATAAAAACTAAAAATTATATTAAAAAATAAATGACATTACAAAATTAAAAAATACATTCTTCCATAATTATTCATCAGGAGGCAGGGGAAAATTGTAATTTGGATTGCTGACATTTGCAGACCACTTGGCGAAAATCTCATTTTTTCGCATTATGTAATACGCTTTTATTTGAGGGTCCAAATGAGAAATGTTTGTTGTCATTATCAAATGTTCTTCATTTCTGATCTCATGTTCTTGTCTTTTGATCTCAAGTTCTTTCATTTCTTGCCATGCTTTACTCACCCAAAAAATCTCTTGCCATGCTTGAATCCTTTTTTCTTCTCTTTTATCTTTTTTCTTTTCCTTTTCAGCAAGGTGTTGATTAAATGTCTCCAACACATTGCTAAATTTGTAGACTTTAGCTTCAATGACTTGATTTCTCTGAAATAATTCTTTTGCAGCTTTCTTACTCATATGCCTTTTACTCCTTGCAAAGACACTACCCTCACTGATTGGATTATTACCAACAGTTGGATTGTTACCAATCATTGGACTGTTGTCATCTTCAAGAGAAATGCATCTATCCATAGAAGAATTGAGGATTGAATTAGGAAAAAATAATGTATGTAGTTTGAAAGATTTGCTGTGAGTTGAAATTGAGATAAAAGAGAGGAGAAGAAGATAAATGTAATTTATTTGCTGTGAAATAGAATTGAGATTGAGAGTTTATATTTATTAAAAAAAAATATGGCCGTTTTTTTTTATTATAATTAGTGTTGAGACATAAAAAAATATTACCGTTGTATTTATATCCGTTATTCTATCTGTTTTGCAATTTTTCTTTAAATTTTTTTTTTTTTAAGGATAAAAAAAGAGCATAACAACGGTCTTATTGCATTCCAAGACACCATCCACACGGTTGATTTTCTCACGATCCAACGGCTGAGGTGAGAATTCTGGAATCAGAAGGGACCATTCCCACTTTCTCATCTTTATTTTCATCAAACTCAATTGGCTGAGCATCTCCATCTCTCTCTCTCCATGTTCATCAGTCTCTCCATCTTCAGTAAACCCAATCGGCTGTTCATCCATCTTTCTCATCTTCATTTTTTAATTTACCTCTCTCTCTCTCTCTCTCTCTCTCCATGTTATTTTATTTTATTATTTTATTTTTTGGTTGTTGTTGATCAAGTCCAGAGGCTCATTCAAATCCAGAGCCTATGATGAAGGCATAGCTACGAAGAACTCCCTCTGAGTCTAGACAAACCCATTTCCCTTTAGATCTGTGTCTGTTTCAGACCAAATTAGTTGAAAAAAAATACAACAGATTCAGACCAAATTTGATTGACAAGAAAAAATTGATTCAGTTGTGGATTGCTCGAGGATTTATTAAATTGTCGGATGAAACACAACACATGTTGGAGAAACATATTTCATGAATTTATTAAGGAGGTCCTTTTTCCAAAATGATGATTGTTTTGCATATTGTTCATTATTTCCTAAAAATTATTGGATTGATATGAAAAAATTGATTCAGTTGTGGATTGCTCAAGGGATTTATTTAATTGTCGGATGAAATGCAACACCAAGAGGATGTTGGAGAAAAATATTTCATGAATTTATTAAGGAGGTCCTTCCAAAATGATGGAAAGGACGATTTGGCAAATATAATGGGTTGCAAAATGCATGATCTTGCAAAATTGATGGCTGGGAGTGAATGTTGCATAGTTGGTTTGGATGCAAAAGATGTTACAAGAACTCATCATGTATGGGTTAGCATTGATGTGAACTCACCATGAGAAATTCCAACTCCCTTGCTTGAAGCAAACAAATTGCGAACATTTCTTGCGCATGATAATAATCCTCTTAGATATTCAGATAGGAAAACAGAGCATATGAATTGGATCAATAAAACAATCTCAAATTTCAGGCGCCTACGAGTGTTGGGTTTGGTTGAATTGTGTACTTACAAGTTGCCAAATTACATGAGGATGTGTTTATTTTGAAGGATTAAGATGTGGGATTGGACTATTAGTCCCTCCATTGTTTGTTTGAAAATTTTTTATCCGGACTATTAGTCCCACAAATATTCTGTGAAATGTCCATTTTACCTTCCATGCTATAACTTAGTAAATCTAGGCATCTAAGGTATCTTGACCTCTCTAGAAATTCATTCATGATTCTAGCAGAAAGCATTTGCAAAAACTCAATTATTGTTGGAAACTCAAGGAATTGCCGAGAAAGATTAAGAATCTAGTGGTGGCTGCTATGAGTTGAGTCATGTGCCACGTGGATTGGGCCAATTGCCTTCTCTTCATACACTAACCCGATTCGTAGCGGGCGGCAAAGATAGGTCCACTGCTGGGATGCACGGAGGGCTAAATGAGTTAGAAGGCCTAGTTAATCTAAAACATGAAAAATACATCAAACCCACTACTACTTAGATAGATTGGAATTCCTCGAGTCATTGGTATTAAGTTTGGACAGTGAGGAACCTATTACGGTTACTGATGACGAGAATTTGTTGTTGCTTGCAAGCCTACGCCCACACGCAAATCTAAAGAAGTTGGATGATAGGGAATTATGGCGGAACGAGTTTCCCAAGTTGGATGATGTTAAATGTGGGTGAGGGGTGTGGGTTAGAGGTGGTGTTTAAGCGTGAGAGTTAGTATGTTAAAATTAGAGAGTTATGTTGTTGTGTTGTGTCTTGCTGCATATACAATACGTTATATAGGCCACAGGAGTATTGGAGTCCAAGCAAACTGTTGAATAGATGGCTCATTCTCCTCAACTCTGTCAGAAGTGATATAAGCCCTTCTGCCGTTTGTGGCTTGACAGTAGGCGAAGAGCAATGTTTCATGGTAGACGGAAAGTAACCTTTCGTATATGCATCAAATGACATGAATGTAAGGTTGTTGTTGCCTCTTCTCCAAGCCTGGTCGAGATAGAGTTGTCTTAGCAAGAAGACAACCATCTTGACGATCCCATGACCTCAGTCACCATTACAGTATCCTCTGATGATCCCGAGCAGTAGTGCTTGGGTCCTACCCCCAACCCAGGCATCCAAGTAGGGGAATGTGCCAAGGCCCACCTCAGTGTTCAGGAGAGCCAGGGGCTCGCTTCCAAGCGACCAAGTAGGAGAATGGGCCATGGGCCTATCTCAATGTTAAGGACAGGGGCTCACTTCCAAGTGACTAAGTAGGAGAATGGGTCGTGGGCCTATCTCAATGTTTAGGAGAGGGGCTTACTTCCAAGCGGACCAAGTAGGTGAATGGGCTGCGGGCCTATCTCAATGTTTAGGAGAGAGGCCTACTTCTAACCAAGTAAGAGATTGGGCCGCGGGCCTATCTCAATGTTTAGGAGAGCCAATGTTTATCAATCCAAGTCCAAGTGAACCGGGGGTAGATTATACTGTTGTTTGGTCTTGGAGCGAGGTATGAAGGACCTTGGGCCCTGTAGGGCCGTGGTGTTGCCTGTTACAGGGCTCTTTATATTTAGATATATTTAGGCTTATACGCATGCTCCCGCTTAGGCTAAGCATATAATTTTGGTTTTGCGTGGTGTCTTGGCACACGGCGCCCGTAGAGCTCGCCATGTATCAGACATATGACATGCCTACATGGTGCCTTATTGGTCTGCCACGTGGGTGGGATTTTGGTGATGTGAAACTTGTAGGGCTTGCCGCGTATTAGGTTTGATACAAGTACCCACAATAAACAACATCTATTTGTCCCTCCGAAATCTTGTTGGGATTTCATTATCAAGTTGTAATAGTTGGAAACATCTTACTCCGTTTGGGCTACATCCTTCTATTCAAGTTATGTGGGTTTGTTATTTGGATTCCTTGGAGTACATTTATAAGGAAGAGGAGAAGGGTGGTTGTTGTAATAGTGGTGGTGATTATGACACTGGTTCTTCTCTGACTTCTTCAATGTCAAGAGGACTTTTCCCATCCCTAAAATCCCTCTACCTCATGAATTTGAAGCGATTGAAGGGACTAGGAAATAGGAGATGGAAAGTACTACCGATAGGGACAACTACAAGATCCTTGTCATTTGGAGCTATGCCACATCTTACTGCCCTTATGTATGTATACATCGAAAATATTGCCCACAGTTTGGTTTGTTGGGTAACTGAAATTGCCCACAGCTTGGTTTGTTGGCTAACTGTAATGAAAATGGCTATGCCCCTACTCTTTCCAATGATAAGCTAAGTTTGATGTCTCTTCATGAGGGCTTGAAGTTGAATCTCTTCCCACTTTGCATCCTATCGACTATGGAGAAGATATGCCACGAAAGATGCATTGTGTATCATCACAATTCCTATTTCAATGATTAGAACCATTTATTTTGTACGACCATCAATGTATATCATCTATGAAAAAAACTATATCGATTGATAATTATAACATTTTCATTTTATTCTTGTTTATCTCTAAAAAATAGATGTTTATTTTTAAAAATGTATTTGTCGTCTATTTTTTAGAGACAAATGTCATAAAATGAAATTTTTTTTTTTTTATAATTATTGAATTGGACTAAATTTTTTTAATGTATGATATACTTTGGAAATTCTATTAAATGAACATTTTAAATTATCAAACGAAATATGTAGTAAGCTTTACAAATTCTTTAAATTCTCTAATGTTGAGCTATGAATATAGGAGAAACTAAACTCATAAAGAAACTAGGAAAAATTTCATTTTAGAATTTAAAAAAGAAATTACAAATAATTAGTAAATTTTATATAAATTAATGTTTAAAATTAAATTTTTTTTATAAATCTATAATAATTTTTAATAAGCTACATAATTCCTAAAAAACAATAAAATGGAAGTATAACTTTAACACCCTAAAAAACAATAAAATGGAAGTATAACTTTAACACGTAAGAGCATTTTCAATGGTATTTGCTATAATACCATTGTCGTTATTATAATTAGGCAATGAATAGTAGTAATTTGTCAAATTATAGTAATGGTACTCTTATGGTATACTTTTGGCAAATTTCAGCCAACTTTCTCTCTAAATTTGTAGGTGTTGTTTAGATATAGGTTTTTTAGTAATTTTTTCTTTTTTTTGTTTATTTTTTGTCTTTTGTGACATTTTTTTAATTGTTTGTAAAAAAAAATTATATATTTACATTATACCTGACTAGACAAATATAAAAAATAAAAAAGAAATTGAAAAATTGAAAAAAAAAAAAAATAATTCACTCCACCAAAAAACAACCACTACAAAAAAATAAAATTACATTGGTACATAAAAAATACTCAAAATTAAATGGACCATTACATTATATTACAAAATAAAAATAACATTGCAAATAAAGACTAAAAATTACATTAAAAAATAAATGACATTACAAAATTAAAAAATACATTCTTCCGTAATTATTCATCAGGAGGCAGGGGGAAATTGTAATTTGGGTTGCTGACATTTGCAGACCACTTGGCGAAAATCTTATTTTTTCGCATTATGTAATACACTTTTATCTGAGGGTGCAAATGAGAAATGTCCGTAGTCATGATCAAATGTTCTTCCTTTTTGATCTCATATTCTTGTCTTTTGATCTCAAGTTCTTGTCTTTTAATCTGAAGTTCTTTCATCTCCTGCAGTGCTTGAATCTTTTTTTCTTCTCTTTTAGCTTTTTTCTCTTCCTTTGCAGCAAGGTGTTGATTAAATGTCTCCAACACATTGCTAAATTTGTAAACTTCAGCTTCAATGACTTGATTTCTCCGAAATAATTCTTTTGCAGCTTTCCTACTCATATACCCTTTACTCCTTGCAAAGACACTATCCTCATTGATTGGATTATTACCAACAGTTGGACTGTTACCAATTCTTGGACTGTTGTCATCTTCACGAGAAATGCACCTATCCATAGAAGAATCGGGGACTGAATTAGGAAAAAATAATGTATGTAATTTGAGAGATTTGTTGTGAGTTGAAATTGAGATAAAAGAGAGGAGAAGATGATAAATGTAATTTATTTGCTGTGAAATAGAATTGAGATTGAGAGTTTAAATTATAAAAAAAAAAAATATAT